CTTCAGGGAGTGGGTATTGTCAAGGGTGCACAGTCTCTCATTGGTATCAATCCAAGTGGTTTTGAAGTTCTCCAGTATGTGTCGTTTTTTGGCCATTTCTGGTTCATTTCGTAGGTCAGACAGCATCTGTCTCCAGGCCTGTTGGGTATTGGCAGTGATTGTGTCAATGATTGTTGCCCGTGCTTGCATAAATCCGAAATCGTGTTGCTTTCTTTCGTAGGCACAACGCATCCTCCAGGCAGCCATCAGCACCGTCATTCTGGAGTAGGAGAACAGGTTTGTCATGAATGGTGTCCATTCTGTTCCCCCCTCTAGGGGTCCTCCCAGCAGAAGGGTACGGACGTCCCAAGGCAGGTGTTTCCCCTTGAGACAGTGCCAGGCTGCGTCCCACCAGCTCCAAAGTTGGGTTACCATTGGGCAGTCTAGTAGACGGTGTTCCAAGGTAGCTCTTTTTCTCAGTGTGGAGCTGGCGCAGTACGTGCATAGCGGGGAGATTTGTCCTTTTGCCTCTAAATCTGTTCTTGTTGTTAGCCAATCCGGAGTGGGCAGGCATCTACGTATAATCTGCCATTGCAGTGCTCTATGATTGGTCGGCATGATGTGTGCAAACGCGGTCCACCTGAAGTGTTGGAAGTCCCGCTTTTCGAGTGGGGAGTCCCTTTCCCAGCGATTGATGATTTGTTGTGTCGCTGGTACTTGTTTCCGGGCTTCCTATATCCATCCTTAACAGTGTATTGCCACAGGGTCATCGACTGGGACCCTTCCCATGACCATTTCCATTCTGCAGGGTCGAAGGGTAGGTGGCAGAGGGGGGTGGATGGTTCGTAGATGTAGCGGCCGTCTTTTGCGTCACCCACTACTCTGATTCTGGTAAGCTCGGTCTCCGGGCGATGTGTGTCCATGTCCTCTTGCCTGTGTATCGCTGACCAACGTTCCCCAGGCAGAGTCGGGCAGTAGGCTTGTAGTTCTGTGTCCCCATTGTTGGTTCTCTGCACCTCGTACACTGTCATAGGGATGGGCATAGAGTGAGTGAGCACCACCCAGTCGTGTTGTTGCATCTTCGGGCCCATTTTAAGCGCGCGAATCCAGGCCAGAGGTATGGCTTCCTGAATCTCCCTCATGCCGGAGGCCATATTTTTTATGTGGCCCATGAGGCTTTGCAGAGATTGCTCTGATTTCCAGTTCCTTGTCGGGCCGTCACAAAGGTGGCCTACTGTGTACACCCCTTTTCTGACCCACTGCCTCCATTTGGAGGTCCCTTGGAGGGAGAAGGTGTTGCCTGTCTCGTCCATGATGTCTGGGTGGCCGAAAATCGGTTGGCAGACCACTTCCTCCCATCTAAGAGGTGTGGGGGTGCGTTGTGGCCCTCTTTCTCTCCACAGTTTAACCATTGTATGCCACAACGGATCGATTCGGAGATCCTGTTTTGCCCGCCCTTCTGGCGAGTGTTCGACCACCCTTCTTGCGCCCGAAGGCAAGGACCAGCACCTGTTGGTTAACCACTGCAGTGAGACCAGCACCTGTTGGTTAACCACTGCAGTGGATGCACTGGACGGAGGGGGTGAGAGGCAGTGGGTCAGAAAAGGGGTGTACACGGTAGGCCACCTCTAGGACGGCCCGACAAGGAACTGGAAATCAGAGCAATCTCTGCAAAGCCTCACGGGCCACATAAAAAATATGGCCTCCGGCATGAGGGAGATTCTTCTCCGTTCACGATGAAATTGGCTGCCAATCAAGTTGAATCACCCCCCCCCCCCCTCCCCCTCCTTGCAGGATGCGATTATGAAATGGGTTTACAGGTAACTTGTCAGGCTTGTGTCCTCAGCTATTCATTACACGTATCCGGCTCTGCTGTAAAAAAAAAAAAAAAAAAAGGGTGAACGTGGAAGTCCTTACATTTGCTATGCAACTTGGGTAGTACCATGTGATTTTCAATGAGGTGAAAATTATTGTATCATGTATGTGCCTCAGCACTTTTGCTGTTTGTAATACTTTGTATGTGCCTCCATGTGTCACAACATGCGCAGTTTTGTTTTTCTGTCTTGGTATGCAATAGAAGGGGGGAAAAAAGGACTTTGTGTGGCCTATTTCATCAGCAGTTTCTTGATTGTATCCCCTGCAACCAAGTTGAATGTTATTGCGCACGACTTGTGCAGATTGTTGTTCACGCTGTTGCTTGCTCCGTGCACATGTTTGTGACAGTCATTTCTACAGTGAGAGAAGGCTTGCTTGCTGTTCACACTGTTGCTTGATCTTTGTGTATGTTTTGTGTCAGTCAGTTCTCGCATTGAGAGAAGACTTGCTTGCATTGCCGTGATCATCCATTGCTTGCCATCACAGCCTACAATGCGGATGATTGTAGACCCTCCCCCACCCCTCTCTCTCTCTCTCTCTCACACACACACACACACACACACACACACACACACACACACACACACACACACCASTGTTTGCATAGACACAMCACCACTCTGTGCATACTCTCTCTCTCTCTCTCTCTCTCTCTCTCTCTCTCTCTCTCTCTCACACACACACACACACACACACACACACACACACCAATGTTAGTATAGACACAACCCCAGTCTGTGCGTAGACAAAAGTGAATGCTGTACAAACGACTACATAGGGCAGAGAGTCGGTATTTAGTATGTACACAGCCCTCTGAGCTTGGGAGGTCGGGCACGCAAAGGGGATGTCAGCCGCTGTTCCTGGTGGTGATGGACGATCCGGCCTCCAAACTGAGATGCAACTGGAACTTGAGAGCATCTGGAAGTGGCAGGTATCCCGAAGTAGACGGTTCTCATCTGTTTGTTTTTTGGTGACGGCTTGATATCGCCTTCTTCACAGTTTCTGAAGAGAGCATGGGAGAGGTCAAAGACCTACTAGACAAGGTTTCGCGAATTGTCAGATATGAGAGCACATCTCAAGCCTGAGGCTGGTGACTCCACGATCAAGGGTTACAGCCAGCAGAAACCCGGTTCGGTTCTTAAATAGGAGAACACAAAAGTCTCCAATTGATATGTTGGGGATGCTCATGACAGTTCCAGGCAAGCCAGCTGCGCACTCCCGAGTCCCGGGCTCTAGTCATCCGACTTTTTTTTGTCCTTTCTTTTTTTCTGACTTTGCGGAAGGTCTCCTCATGGATGGAAGGGAAGTTCGCCTCTATTGCTGGTAGCGCTCCCGTCAATGGTTTTACGACAGTAGCATCATTCTGGGCTTAAGGCTCGCGTCGGATAGAGTTAGCCCGATTGCAAACTGACTAACGCACGTGCATGAACCGCAGGAAACCCACTCAGGAACACACTAAACCACATCGTATACAGCACATCACGATATGAGACAAGTAGCACATACAGGAACACCCTTAATTAAACCCTACACGGCACGAATCAAAATGGAATAGCACATATACTGACATAGACACAACCGCATAAGGCAACAAGTAGATAGACAGTAATTGACAGTTGATAGGTCACAATAACAACACTATAATGAGATAGCTCGATGAATGCAGGCTGGGCCTCGTACCGCCCACCCCCTCATGCATACTGACAACTCATGCTTGCATTGCTTTCAATTCTTACATTGTACTATACGGGGATGCTGGACCCGATTTCCAGCAGGTGCAGCTCCCCACCAATAGATGGAGCCTCCCGGACGGTGCTAGCGGTGTCTGCTCCTATCAC